AGTATCAAATCGGAAGAAATAATCAAACCTAGGATGTAAATTTAAAAATTTCCGTTAATAAAGTTAAATTGGGTTTAAGTCGTCCATTGCTCGGACTTAATAATTGCTATTAATAAATTTATAAATTTATGAATTTCATTTTAGTATACGGGTTCATACCGATCAGAGCTGGATATTAAACTACCACTCCCTTGCTGTGTTCACTCCTTTTTCCAGTAGGTAGGTCAAAACATTAATTTTCACTTTCACTTTCATTTCCTTTTTATTTATTTTTAAAAAATTAATAATATCAATGTTATCTAAATTATAGTGAAATAAAATTTTTAATATGCTATTTAAATTTTAAAAATTTTTCATATGATATATAAATTATAAATAAGGATAAAAAAATTTTAAAAAATTAAAAATTAATTTAAAATTATAACATTTGATTCAATTTAGATTGTTTTTTTTCTCATTCGATTTGAATTAAATTCAACTATTAAATATATATATTAGGTTCAGATTGAATTTTAAATTAAAAAATAAAAAATTAAATCAAATTAAATTATATATTTTTATTAGTTTATATATATTTTAAATTTTTATAAAATAAAAATAATTATTTTATATCTAAAACTATTTAAATATATTAAACAACTATATTAAAATTATATAAAATATAAATTTTAAAAATCGATGAATTGAATTGATAAATTTTGATTTGAATCAGATCCTATGAAAAATTGATTCGAATTTAGATCGAATTTTAAAATTTTATAATATTAAATATTATCCAATTAACTATAAATCTATTAATTAATGTGATATTTGAATAATTATTTGTACTTCAAATATCATCATTTAAAATTAATTACATTAAAATAAATACATATTAATTAATAAATTTATAATTCAAATATTATATTAAAAATTTTAAAATTTAATTATCGCATTAAATGTTTTAACATAATTTAAGACCATTCATAACATTTATTTTTTTTAATAAATATTCTTCTTATTGGTGCAAATACTAAATTGTCTTGCTTGTTGCCTTGTTTTGTAGTTCAGCCCCAACCCAAAAACAAAAGGAGAAGAATAAAAATCCAGCAAACGTCAACATAATCAGACGCAGACTTTTTTTCTTTTTAGCGTTTGGGCGGTGGCTTACAGTAGTACCACCATTCAAGACAACGCGCATCGTCATTGAAGATGACAGCCAGCATTCATTCTCGTCGGTGCTGCTGCTGCTGCGGCAACATCTATCTATGCAAACCGCGACGTCAATCTTTTAAGATTATTTAACATTATATGTATAAAATATTTTTATTAAATAAAATGGTTGGTAATTAATATGTAGATTTTTAATTCATTAAAAGAAAATATTAATACTTTTATTAATAATTTTAAATAATTCTGTTAGGATACTCATTATTTTTTTTTAATTTACTAGAACTAGAAAGTTGAGGTAGGACTAAAATTTTCTTCTCAGCTGTTGTGGCCTTTTGTGCTGCACAGTGGCTGGAATTTATAATATTTAACTTTTTCTTAGACTGAAATTACATGTAAAACTAATAAATTTACAATAACAATAATTAGGATAATTTATATATATATAAATTTGATGTTGAAAAACATTTGAACTGATAAAAAAACATATATTTTTTACTTATTACATTTTTATATTGTTATTTTAAATATTTATATTAATAGATATTAATAAAATTTATCTAATTTATAAATAAAATTTTATTTTATTAAAAATTTATTAGATAAATTTATCTAATAATAAGATGTATTCCATTTATAAGAAAAAAATTATTTTATTGTAAATGTTAGGCAATATAAATAACTATATTATGTTTGACATATAATTGTTATTTAAAAAAAAAAACATTTGTAATGTACAAGAGTATAAAAATTTATATTCCTAAAAGTAGGTACTAATAACTAGTATGATTTATTAGTATTCTACTACAGTCGTCATTATTCAATTGGCTTTATGGCGTGCTCTCCAGCTGTAACCTTGGTGGTCATAAATTAAATGTTAATACGTCGTTCTTTTGTTTTATTCTTTTAGATGGATACTAATAATTTAATTCATTTGACCCACTTGACTTGAAGTGTCGGTTAAAGCTATCCATACTTCAAACTTGTCTTTAAATATAATTCATGCCCCAACAATTGAATCAAATGTTTTTATTTATTATCTTTAATTTTTTGTTTAACCATTCAAAAAACTTATAAAAAACATGTAAAATGAAATTTCGATTTCTATCAGTTTTCATCTCTTGTCTCATTTCTGTGAAAAAAAAAAAAAAAAAGAAGTTTCCATTCATTGTATACCTGTCCACCTAAATTCTTTGACAGAAGAACAAGTCAAATGTTTAACTATTATTATGAACTCCAACGTTGAGATTTAAATATTTTTTTTCTGATATATCCTTGTGACAGAATTATCTATTAAAATGTGTTCACCAAACAATAGAATATTAGGTAATAGTAATATTTGAATCCCTTCCCTTCCCTTCTCCTCCAAACGCGTTAATAGGTAGGCGTCAAGCTAAATGCTCAGACCCAAATTACCTAATCGTTTGGCATTAGTTTTCTAAAATAATAATAAAAAAAAGGTTTGGTAAATCTGTATCTCTCACTCCGGACAACACAACGTGGTTGAATTGTATGCGGACACGTGGACATTAACCTTTCGTACAGTGCAAAGTACCCTCGTCTTCGCTTTGATTTGCACGGAATGGAGATCCCAAATGATAGTTGCATTTTGTCTGTATGCTTTTCCTCTTGGTTTTCTACCTTTATTTAATTCAATTTCTAAACATTGTAATTATTCCTCGAAGTAGACGTGGAACAGATGGACTAAAAGCGCACCCCCTTATTCACCCTTCAACATCTGCTTGGTTTTTGTTTTTGTTTTTTCTTTTTTTTTTTTTTAATTTTTCTGGGGTTTGACTTTGTTGCAAAATAACAACTGTGTTTGGGAGACGAGGTTTTTCATTTTTTGAGGATGTGATTGACACCTTTTTGAGAGACGTTGGCTATAGTATTTATGTATGTTCTGTTTCCAGGTAACAATCTTGAATTCCAGATGTTAGATGTTCAAGCATGTGTAAAGCAGAATCTATATGTGTTGCCGCCTAAATTAACTCTGCTCCATTTTCAATTAGTTACTTAGTGAGACATGCATGCAGGCATGGACATTTTTTTGGAATTCAATTTTTATATATACTTAGGTTAATTTTTTCAGTTACATTGTAGATCCAAAATTGACTAGATGTATATAAAAATATTAGAAATAAAGTATAGTGATGATATGTAAAGTTTGACAGATCACAATTTGCTCATGCGCATTTTCATCAGAAGACGACGGTGCTCCTTTCATGTAAAAATATTGTTTGTTTTGTTTGAGTTAATGTTATAAATAGTTTTTGAATTATAATAAAATGTTTGATGTGATATTTGAATTTTAAAAATATTTAATATAATATTTAAAAATTTATTTATTTGTTATCTATCATTATTTAAAATCAAGCATATTAAAAATAAATATCACATTAATTAAATATAAAAATTCATCACTTATAAATTTATACTTCATATAAAATTTTAATAGATATCATATTATAATTAATTAATTATAATTGAATGATTATAGATAGTACGCTCTCATCAAAACATTTGTTCGGGATTCCATTTACAAGTCAACTTGGGTGTCATTCGCCAAGAATGCAATATGCAAGGAAGTTTCAATGACTTTGAGCTTTCATTTTCATCCAAAAAGACTACACCTGTGCAAATACATCATCAATCAAAAATTTTTTTTGATTAATTGGAAATACATCACCTATATTGTAACCAAACCATTTTGTTGCCATATTTTAATTCCCACATCAATAAAAAAATGTGATAATTGTAGACTAGATAAACAAATAAACATTCTCTTTGTCCCATTTGTTTTGTTTTTTTTTTTTTTTATGAAATATTTCAAAATTATATCATTTTTTTAAACATTTAAAATTTATATTTTTTTATATTTTTTGACATTAAAAATAAAAAAAATAATTTTATAAAAAATTTAAAATTTAATATTAAATATATTAAACCCTAATTTTTTTCAAATTTTATAAAAATTAATACATGATAAATATTTTAAGATGAAAGGAATAGTAAAATAGTCCAAATCAAAAGTCCAAGCAAAAGTTGGTCGATCTACATATCTAACTAGTAAGTACGTTTCTATTTTCATTCAAACGCAATGCACACAAACCAAAAAATCATTAAATCATTTTTAAAACCAAACAAAAAAGGTTGGGAATGAAGCTAAGATTTCTTACAAGTTGGATGACGATAAATAAAGCAGTGATTTTTTATGAATAATATTTTTAAGAAATTATAATTTAAGAATAAAAAAATTAAAAATTTAAATTTAATAACTATTATATTTAAAAAATGCTTGAACAAATCAATTAAAATAATTCAAAACTAAAATATCTTTTTTATTTTTGAAATAACAATGACTTCGTATGAAAATGATCTCTATATTACACCAACTATTTCCACGAATACATTTCTATATTTTAGAAATAAAATATAGTGCACAATTTCATTGTACTTTCTACTATGACCTCCTCTTTTTATAATTAATTAATAACAATTTTGCAACACCCTTTTTTGACATTTTTCCCCTTCATACTTTTTGTTAAGTTTCCTTCGTTTTACAAAAATCATAAAAAACCTAGAGATTATTTTACCAAAATTGTTATTTAATCTGATAAACATTTGGTTCGAAAGCAAAGAGATAAAAAAAAATAATGACCACAAAATAAATAATATTCACATCTTTAAAACTAAAACTTTTATATCTATTTTCATATTAATTTCACTCCAACTTTTAGGTTGATAATTATTTTCATTTTTTATAAATAAATAATATAGAATTAACAAGTTCAAAATTTTTGCTTGAAAATGTAAAAAACAAAAAAAAAATCAACAAAAAGAGGGAAAAAACAAAAGATTTGCAAGAAAAAGAAAGGAAATCTCCGGCGAGAAGTCCATTCCACGTGGTTGAAAAGACAAACAAAAAAACACTGTTTGGGTCTTTAAATTTCCGAGTTACCGTCTCTGGCTACGATCCGAGGTCGAATTTAACAATGCTACTTTCGTTGTAGGCGTTGAGACTTGAAAGAGTTTCTCTTTCAGAGAAAAACAGAGAAACGGAGAAAAATCTCAAGAATCTTCTTCTTGCCCAGTTAACCCAACACCTTACTTCTTATTTTTTCTTTTCCTCCCGGTATTATACAAGTCAAGGTAATGTTTTTCTTTATTCTCAAGGCAATGTTTTATACAATTCAAGGTAATGGTGGTCTCTGTTTTATCTGTTTTTCTTGGTTTTGATGAAATGGATGTTATTAGTTTGTTGTTCTTTGATTGTGATTACATTGTAATATGCTTTTTTTTTTTTTAATTTTCTTAAGTGAGCTTCTGGGGATTGCTTTACTTGATGGTTTTGGAAGATCCAGAGTCCAGTCGGATTCTTTATTTTGTTTTGATTGAATGATGTGACTTTTTTTTCTCTTTCGCATGAGATTTTTGGAAATTGTTTTTTTTTTTTTGTTTTGTTTTGTTTTTAATCTCATAACTCATTGATAATGAGTGCATGACTGCAACGGCTACTTTGCTTCTCTGATTATGTTTTTGTCATTCGTCAGACAATGTGAAGAAGAGAAAATGAACTGCTTTTGATTCTAATAAGGTGGAAGATTTTTTAAGTTTTTTCTTTTTTTTGATGGGTTATCTTCAACATCTGTTCTGGTTTCCCAGAAGTGGTTACCCATTTTTATTTATGACATGAATCCTGCTATATAATCTATATATTTAGCATATAAAAAAGGCCAAGCTGAGTTGAGTTTGTTTCACAGAAATCGGTGCCCCTTGTTGTCAGATCAGATGGGTATTTCTTTTTCCTGCCCATTTGCTAAATGCAGTGATGTGGAGAATGGCTTAGAATCTGTCATTGTGAAATCCATTAGTTTTGGAGATGATGGAGTCAAAACACCCGTTAGATCTATCAGTTTCAAAAGTTTAGATTCAGAGCCGGCGATATTAAAATCAGTAGGTTCTGGAAAGATGATATTGGAGGGATCTGTTAGCTTTAAAGGGATAGATTTGGAGAGAATGCCTTCAGTTAAGTCTCCTCCATCAGATAAACGGGAGAATTTGCCCATTGAAGCTGTCAGTTTAAAGAGCAAAGCAATCCATATTGAATCTCCAAAACCAGATTCTTTGTTAGAGTCTCCAAAACAATCACCGGTTCCGGATCCCAGCAATCCACAACACGAGGCGGCAATAAAATTGCAAAAAGTGTACAAGAGCTTTCGGACAAGGAGAAAGCTAGCAGATTGTGCAGTTCTTGTTGAGCAGAGCTGGTTTGTATTATAATTTTATGTTCTATACTGCCTTTGTGTACGTATATATTTTTTTTAATGCAATTATTTGTTATAATGTAGGTGGAAGCTCTTAGATTTTGCTGAACTGAAGAGGAGTTCTATATCATTCTTTGATATAGATAAACATGAAACTGCTATTTCGCGTTGGTCAAGGGCAAGAACTAGGGCTGCCAAGGTTGGAAAAGGTCTATCAAAGAATGATAAAGCTCAAAAACTTGCTTTGCAACACTGGCTTGAGGCAGTAAGTCAATTGCAGTAGAAATGAACTTAGTTTACCATTGTTCTTCATTATCTGTTATTGATTCCTGTTCATGTGTCAATCAGATTGATCCAAGGCATCGTTATGGACACAATTTACACTTTTATTATAATCAATGGCTCCATTCTCAGAGTCAAGAACCCTTCTTTTATTGGTAATTTTCTTTAACTGAATGTTTTGGTTCATTAGTAAGAAATTTTGATTCTAGGTTCAAGAAATTGAAACTGAAAATGGACATACTAGTTTTGAAAATACAGGCTGGATATTGGAGAAGGCAGAGAAGTAAATATAGAAAAATGTCCTAGATCAAAACTTCAACAGCAGTGCATCAAATATCTCGGTCCAGTGGGTCTTTATTTCTTTTCTTCACCTCATTTTCTCTGAATTTATATTCAAAATATTACAACAACAATTATCCACTATACAGATGGAACGGAAGACCTATGAAGTTATTGTGGTAGATGGAAAGTTTGCATACAAGCAAACAGGGAAGCTTCTCCATACTACCGAAGAAACTAGCGATCTTAAGTGGATTTTTGTCCTCAGCGCATCAAAGATCTTGTATGTTGGGATGAAGAAGAAGGGTACATTTCAACATTCTAGCTTCTTGGCTGGAGGTGCCACTATTGCTGCTGGAAGATTAGTTGTTGCTAGTGGTGTCCTTAAGGTATAGCTATGCATATTATCTTTCATATCTTTTTTGTTTTTTCCTGCTCAGTACACTTTATGTTCTGCGACACTCTCTTAACAATAGTTACTATTACTCTGTTCACAGGCAGTTTGGCCTCACAGTGGTCATTATCGTCCTACAGAAGAAAATTTTAATGACTTCATTTCATTTCTAAGGGAGAACAATGTCGATCTTACGGATGTCAAGGTTAAAAAAAAAAGTGTTATATGCTTTGAGCATCATTTTTTTTTCTTGCAAATGAAAAGAATTGTTGACAATTCTTTTGTCACATTCAGATGACTCCAGTGGATGACGAAGAAAGCTTGGTTGGCAAACAAAGAAGCAGTAACCATCTCAGATGCAACTCATCTGAAGAGGACTTAGAGGCTGAAGAGATCTGTGTCAAAAACTTGATCAAAGAGGTAGTTGATTCAAGGGAACAAGAAACTGGTGCAGCTGTTGAACGCCTCAAGTCAAGGAGGCTCGTCAACCTTAGTAGAAAAGTGACTAATCTTGGAATACCAAAAAGAACGGAATTGTTTGAGATGTCAAATAGTGATCATAGAGCTGTTGTGCAAATTTGCAATGACAATTTGATGGATTCTCCTTTGGAGGATTCAGAACAAGATTCAATGGTTCCAAAAGAAAAGATTGATGAAAATCATGTAGATAATGAGGTAGAAGACATTCCTGAAGAATCAATTCTTCAAAGGATTAACTCTAAAGAAGGAATGAACTCATATCAATTAGGGAAGCAGTTGTCATGCAAGTGGACTACAGGAGCAGGACCCCGAATTGGCTGTGTGAGGGATTTCCCCTCGGAACTCCAATTCCGTGCTTTGGAGCAAGTGAACTTGTCCCCAAGAAGTGCTAGCTACTTGAAATCATACTCTTCTCCTCGGTCCACTAGTATCCTAAGTCCAAAAGTTTCCACAACAGCAGGTGCTAGCAAAGAAATGAGAACCCGAAGTTTACCTGTGCTCAAGAAGGAAAATTTGTTGCAGAAAAGCATCCATTCCAGATTGCATCCTCCCCGTTATTAAGAGGAGCAGTTGTTGGTAACATACCATAGTCTAGAGTACATTCCCAGTCAGTTCACTCTTTAGTGTGAATAGAAAAGATGATATAAGAATTCTTCTTCATTCTTCTCAGAAGTAGTGATGTACACAATTATTTTGATTTTTTCATCTTGTATCGTAAGATGACGGGACAATTTTAGGAATTTTGGGTTTAATGCCCTTTGAACACAAAAGGAAAATAACTTATTTTTTGGCAAGTAGCTTTGCAATTGTAAGTTTCAATGGAATTTTAGCAAGTTTTCTACTTTAAATTTCACAAGATTTGTCCCTTTTACCATTTTTTCCCCTCTTGGTGAAAAATTAACAAGATAGAAGGAGCAACAAACTGGCAGGAGCAGCAGGTATCATCATAGTTTCTAGTTTGTACTCAAAGATGACTTGCATTTCTTGTATGATCGTTGAGGAATTAGGATGCCCTCGAAGGAAAGGAGTCGCTCCAAAGTAGTAAACTTGACAATTTAAAACATAGTACGATAACATAATATAAAAATAATATAAAAAAAATACATGACACAAAGGTGACATGAAAATGATATAAAAATAGACATGAAGGTGACGCGTTTTAAATTTTAGTAAAACTGTACAAAGCAGTCAATCTAAGTTTTAAGTATCCATCAAAACAGGTGGTTACAGAGAAAAACATTAGTTTGAGTTATACAAACAAATTTGTCTTGCATGGTTTTAAAGTAAAACATGGTCGGTACATCATTTTAATGCTGCTGCTATTGTTAGACCTCTGATATTTCAGTTGCTGAAGCAGATGTCTCTCTGTAGTCATTGTCCCTCTTCATCATAGCAATTCAATTTCCTCATTACGTGTCCCAGTCTCTTCAGAAAATTTTGTTGCTTATCATGAAGAAAAGAGATGATGTCTCAGCCCGAAAAATTGCTTACTGAGCCACTTTCCTTGTGTAGAATATTATGTGTAGTGATTTTTTTCTTTGATGTACTTATGCATAAAATATTAATTGTTTAAACATGTGAAAGAGTTTATATTTGATATATTTTTAATCTAAATAATTTTATGGACTGTATATACATTCTCAACATGAGAAATCTTTGATAGACACAAAGTTATGGACATGAATTGAAAGAAAAATAAAAAAGTCATAAACCCAAGAGAAATTAAAAGAAAAATGCAAGGAAATTTTGATTAATTGAAAAAAAATAAGCAAACTGTGGCAACAAGGACAAAGTAAACAAATTACTAGAAATATCATAACTCGGGAAACTCCAATATAATTAAAGTGTAGTGTCCAGGAAAAAAGAAGAAACTCAGCATCAGTAAAAAAAAAAAAAAAAAACCATAGCCAAAATGTCCATCAAAACCAGAACGTCAAAAGGTCTTTGATTAGATTTGCTTGATTTCACATTTAGCTGAAGTGAAATAGCCTCACAAATTGAACAAAGACAAATATCAATAGGCTCGTTTTCACTTGCAATAGCAAGGAAAAGAAAAAGTATATATTTCACTATTTTGCGTGTTTCGGGAGAAGAATCTTGACCTTCTCCTTTAAGCATCATTGTTTAGATCACAATTCCTAGTCTCCCCAAGAGACATGATTGATGTGCCTCCCTCTTCATGATATTAATCAAGGACTGCAAATTTTCCTCATCGTTCCTTTTTATTAGTTGTGAGAAATAATTGCTTTAGGACCACAATCAATAAGCATTGAACATTTTAAGGTGATGACTTTCCTTAACAACATCCAGATCCAATACCAATCTTCAAAAGCTTATTAAAAACAAACGAAAAAAAATGTTCCTTCACATGAAATAATTAAAAATTTCAGCTGCTTTCTTTTGTATAAAAAATAAAATAAAAGCTCAAACTTTAGGTCTTGCAAGCATTAAATTGACCCATATGAAAGTAATATGGGGTGATCAATTTTAAATAATGGTTCAACTAATATATATATATATATATATATATATATATAAGCAGTGATTTATTTATATTAGTATAAATTTTCCACGCTTTTTATCATTGAATTAAAATTATATTCATAACATTTATACTTATTCATTTTAATTCAAAATTAAAAAAAATGTAACACTTATATTAAGGTAAATGGGTCACTCTTATATATATATATATATATATATATAATATTTACAAATATTATCATGAATGTTGCTTTAGTGCAAAAGATTAAAAATTCATAAAAAGAATTGCATATAACTATAGTAAATGAGACATTTAGCATGAAATGCATGGTTAAAAACTATAGGTTCAAAGTAGATTTGTCAATTGAGAAGGTTGGGTTTAGGTTCAGTCAAGTTGGATTTGAGTCCAGTCAATTAAGTTCATATCATTTTGGATTTTTAAAAAATGAGGTCAGTTTTAGGTTGGTTCATTTCGGTTCAGGTTATTTTGGATTCAAGTCATTTTGGATTTGAGTTATTTTAAGTTTGAGCAATTTTGGTTTTGAATCATTTCAGTTCAGGTATTTTGAGTTTAATACTGATTATTTGGGTTTGAGTCATTCAAATTTAGATCATTTTGGGTTCAATTTATTAATTTTTAAAATCAAATTAGATTAAATTTAAATAAATTATTTGATCGAATTCAAATAAGATTTCATTATAATTTTGTTAAAAAATAAAAAACAAAAAAGGTAATATTGTAAAAATAAATATAAATATTATAGTATGTATGCTTTAAATAAAAGTTCATTTTTATGTAATTAAAAATTATGTGATTTTATTAGAATTGACTAATTTAAATGCGACATGATGATATTACCTCAAAATAATATGAAAAAACCGTATGGGTTTTAGAAAAATATTTTTTGTATTTAGCTATATCGATATAAATTTTGACACATATAAGATAAAAAAAATATTTAATTAAATAATGCCATATAAATACACATTTAAGATATGCAAAACATGTTTGTCACATTTAATAATTTTTATTATTTATTTTAATCTAATATATATATATATATATATAAAGACAGCTTTAAACTTTTAATTATAATAAACAATTACATATTTAATATAATCATATAAAAATTATTTTAAATATTTAATTAGGATACACATTTAATATGCAATTATTTTTATATTAATAATATAACTATAACATAAATAATCATTTTAGTATAATTAAAGCTCATTATTTAATAGCTTATTATTTTGGATTTTAGTGTAATTGTAACTCATTATAATTTATTCTAAATTACATGATTAAAAATTAATAATATATTTATAACATAAACATAACGTATGTACGCAAATCAATGACTTGTTATACATATTTTATTCTAAATGACATGATAATCGATATCCATGTGTAATTGTAAGAGATTATATAATTTATTTTATATGATACATTGATATTAATACCCATAATAATTAAAAATATGTAATTTATTTTAAATCATATTATAAATTATAAGAAATTTTATAAGTACAAAATATATATAATTTATAATGGTTTCATATTAAAAAATATATAGTAATTTGATATTTCTAATAATTTTAATAAGTTTTCATTTGTGTTATATTTATGATTTTATTTATGTTATATTTATTATTCTTATTAAATTAATGTTTTTAAATAAAATTACGCTTAATTTAGTCTTGGGTTATTTTGGTTTAATTTTTTAGGCCATAATGGCTTTGGGCTAATTCAGGTTTAAACCATTTCAGTTTTAGACTATTTTGAGTTTAAGCCAATTTATGTTTGAGTTGATTTAGGTTTGGGTTGCTTTCAGTTTTGAGTTGAGTTGGTTCGGTTGATGATTTTAATGATCAAATCAAGTTAAAATGAGTTTTTGTTCAAGTGAATTTAATGAATTTTTCGAGTTCAGATCAAAATTGGTAGGATTGGTTTAAAGGCTAATAAAAAGCATCAGGTTATATAAAATAGATCGATTAAGACAAACTTCATTAGCATGAAATTCATAGCTAACATAAAGTCAACGGATAAGCATGGTTCAAAAGCAAATAAAAAACATAAAGTTACATGAATGATCTCTAAGAAAGCTTCTTATAAAGCTAATACAAACTATGAATGAAATTTATAAATCTATTAATTTTATTAGAGGCTTAGTTTCAGCTTAGGAAATAAATTGACACAATTCAAATCTTTGCAATAGACATTGCAACCTAAATTGATATCATCTACAAAGATTTTGAATTGAATAAATATGAATTGACAAAATTCCATCTTATAAATTAGTCGAAAGATAAATAATGGATATGTAATGTACATTGAGAGTTTTAACTAGGATTTCATCTGTTTCGCACATATCTTTCCACTTTAAATTATATATATAAAAAAATGAGTGACTTGCAGGCATCATAACGTATAAATCTATAAACTTGGTTTTAGACACAAGTTTATGAGTCGTCATCAATTTTTTTTTTTATTTAGATGTCATTGATTACCTAACTAAATCTTTTCCCTTTTAAAGAGATTCTAAACTTGATTCAGATTCTTTAAAAAAATAGATTATAATCTATAAAACCAGGCTAAGTCTAAGATACTATTATATATGGGGAAGGTTATAGCATCCCACAACGCCTATTCAAAGGATAATATTTGTTGATTTTGTGTTATCTAAAGCCTTAAAACATCTTCCCAAATAATTTAATATTGGAAATTATTCTTAAATTATTCTAATATGTTGATAACAATTTAAAAATATTTTCTTATCTTAGGAGTTTTCAAAGAGACTATTTGTCATGTTGGAATAGGCCTCATTGTCGGATTTTATTTTCAAAATTTATCTTTTTCCAAATCAATAAAATCATCCAAAATTTGGTAAGCTTTTATTATAAAAAAGTTATAATAAAATCCTCTAATAGTTTGGTAAAATTAAATTAATTTCAAAAAATATTTTTAAACCTATTATTTTGGTAAGATTTTATTTCTTAAATTAAATCCTTTAGTAGTTTGGTAGAATTTCTTTAAATTTAATTTAAAATTTTTCTTTAAATCGATGAAATCATCCAATTGTTTAGTAGAAATTTATGAATTTATCTTCTAAAAGTTTTCTTTGAAAATTCATAAAATCCTCCAAATTTGGTAAGATTTTATTCCAAAATTATTTTCAAAAATTGAATTTCAAGGCCATGAAATCTTCCAATTTGTTGTTAGGGTTTAGTTTTAAAATTAACTTTCAAAAATTATATTTCAAATCAATAAAATCCTCTAATATGTTGGTAGAATTTTTATCTCAAAATTTATTTTAAAAAATTAAAATTTTCCAAAGAAACATAATCAAAATAAAAATACCAAGAATGAGTTGGTCAA